TCCGCCTCCCGGGTTTACGCCATTCTCCTGCCTCAGCCTCCAGAGTAGCTGGGAATACAGGCGCCCACCACCTCACCCGGCTAGTTTTTTATATTTTTTAGTAGAGACGGGGTTTCACCATGTTAGCCAGGATGGTCTCCATCTCCTGACCTCGTGATCTGCCCATCTCGGCCTCCCAAAGTGCTGGGATTACAGGCTTGAGCCACCACGTGCAGCTTCTGTCCCTTTGAAGGGCTCACAACGCTAAAGATTTCACAGGAAAGCATCGTGATTGATTTGAGCGAGCAGCGGGTACATGACAGGGGCTGCATGCACCCATGGTCAGAGTGAAACAGAACAGGGCAGGGAGTTTCACAATGTTCTTCTATACAATGTCTGGAATCTATGAATAGCATCAGTTTCTAAATTATGAGTTGATTCTTAACCACTGGGTTTAGGCCAGGCAGGCCCAGGCCTGGTTTCAGGCCTAGCGCCGGGCCGCCTGTCTTTGGTTTTCCTTCCTTGTTTTTTTCTTAAAACAGGTACTGAGTATAAAACAATATGTAACAATATGAGAGGGTCACTCTCTTTCCTCACCATGACCAAGTGGGTTTATCCTAGGTATGCAAGGCTAATCCAACATTTGAAAATCGACTAATATAACCCATAATATTTACAGGCTAAAAAAGACAACTTACATGATTTTTTCAATAGGTGCAGTAAAAGAATTTGACAAAGTTCAGTACCCACTCACGTATTGCAGCAAACTAAGAACAGAGGGGAATTTCCTCAGCTTCGTAAAGAGCATCTACTAAAAGCCCTATAGCTAACATCATACTTAATGGTGAAAAACTACATGATTTCACCCTAAGATTGGAAAAAAGGCAAGAATCCCTCATCACTGTTCCTATTCAGCATTGTGCTGGAAATCCTAGCTAATACAGTAAGAGTAGAAATGGGAATAAAAGGCATACAGATTGGGAAGGAAGGAATAAGACTATCTTTGTTCACAAGTGATATGATTGCCCATGCAGAAAATCCCAGAGAACCAACAATAACAAGAAAACTTCTGGATGTTAGAGGCGATTATAGCATGGTTGCAGGATTCAAAAATTAATCACTTTCCTATACGCCAGCAATGAACAGTTGGAATTTGAAATTTAAAACTCAACACTATTTACATTTATCCCCCCACCCGCCAAATTACATACGTGTAAATCTAACAGGATACGTACAAGGTCTAGGTAAGGAAAACGACAAAACTGTAGTGAAGTCGAAGAAGATTTAAGCCAATGGAGAGATGTTCCATCTTCGTGGATGGGAAAACTCCATGTTTTTTAGATGTCAGTTCTTCCCACTTTGACCTGTAGATTCAATACAATCCTAATCAAATTCCCAGCAAGTTACTTTGTAGCTACCAACAAACTGATTCTACATTTATGTGGAAAGGCAAAAGACCCAGCATAGCCTTGCAGTATTGAAGAACCAAGTTGGAGAACTGACACTAGCCAACTTTAGGACTTACTGTAAAACTGTAGTAATCCAGACAGTGTGGTGTTGCTGTAAGAATAGACAAATAGATCAATGAAACGTCATAGAGAGCCTGGGAGTTGACCTACTTAGTAAATCCACCCAGATAGTCAGCCCATCCACCCAGAGAGTCAGCCCATCCACCCAGAGAGTCAACCCATCCACCCGGATAGTCATCCCGTCCACCCAGATTGTCAACCCGTCCACCCAGAGAGTCAACCCGTCCACCCAGAGAGTCAACCCATCCACCCGGATAGTCATCCCGTCCACCCAGATTGTCAACCCGTCCACCCAGATTGTCAACCCGTCCACCCAGTCAGCCCGTCCACCCAGAGAGTCAACCCATCCACCCAGATAGTCAACCCGTCCACCCGGATAGTCAACCCATCCACCCGGATAGTCAACCCATCCACCCAGATAGTCAACCCATCCACCCAGACCGTCAGCCCATCCACCCAGACCGTCAGCCCATCCACCCGGATAGTCATCCCGTCCACCCGGATAGTCAACCCGTCCACCCGGATAGTCAACCCGTCCACCCGGATAGTCAACCCATCCACCCAGAGAGTCAACCCATCTTTGACAAAGGAGCAAAGGCAATTCAGGGCAGACAGAAAAGCACTATTTCTTTTCAACAGATAGTTCTAGAAAAACAACATGCAAAAAAAAAAAAAAACCCAGCAACTGTGACTATAGACAGTGATCATACACAGTTCAAGAAAATTAACTCAAAATGAGTCATAGACCTAAATGTAAAATGTATAACAATGAAACTCATAGAAATGTAGGAGAAAGTCTAGGTGACCTTGGGTTTGGCAACAAATTTTTGGATATAACACCAGAAACACTCTTCATGAAAGGAAAATTGGTAAGTTGGACTTCATGAAGATTAAAAACTTATGCTTTGCAAAATACAGTTAAGAGAATTAAAATACGAGCCACTGACTGGGAGAACAGATTTGCAAAACACATATCTGATAAAAACCTGGTATCAAACAACACATGGAAAATAAGGGTGTTTGGATGGGTAGGGCGGGATGAGCTAGGGAGGACCTGGAAAGTTAAGTTTCTTTTTTAAAACTCTAGAGACTCTCCTGGAGCACCGCTTGCCCTTTTCATTACAGTCAACCTGAGAAGGGAACTGAAAATACGGCCATAGTTGTCATGAACTTGGGGGAACCATTACTTGGTTTTTACCCTCATTAAGGAACTTTGTTATGAAAGATAAAATCACTTTGTGAATGTGAATTAGAGTAGAAAATGGAAATTCCTTATATACTCTCTAAGCCACTGGAAACTTGAGGCAGAGAAGTTTTAAAAGACACACGTGGATTTCCTCTGAAATATTTGTAAACAGCAAATTCAGAATATGTTGGTTAGTTTAGGACCATACCAGGCTTTAGTTGTTACATTGAATTGCAAATAACTTATGTTCATGAGCCTGGAATTCAAGAAGTTCTTGGTGTGAGAATTTGACAACTACTTCTGGCTTCCCGGAGCCAGAACCCACCTGGGAATGGGGTTTTGAAGTAAGCACCGTTGAAGAGACACAGACGGCAGAGGCCGCAGCACAGGCTGGGAGACTTCCCTCAGGTTTCGGTAGACTGTCTTCATTATGGCGTAAAAACATGTCAGATGAAATTTTAGAAACTATTTCCAAACTCAGTGAAGGTTTGTGACATCTGGGACATTGTTTTCAACACAGAAGTTGAATGAAACTGCTACAGAGGCAAAATGAGAAGTGTGGAGAGGAGAGGCTGTGGTGACTGGGCATTCCCCCTCCTTCCTCTCCTTCCCCTCCTTTTCCTCCTTCCTTTCCCTCCTTTTCCTCCTTCCTTTTCCTCCTTCCTCTCCTTCCCTCCTTCCCCTCCCTTTCCTCCTTTCTT